CCCACCCACCAGCTCCCCTCCCCAGGGATGGATCCCTCCCGCCAGCCCCCCACTGCAGAGCCTGCCTGCCCTCCCCAGGGACAGGCCCTTCTCACCAGCCCCCCCACAGAGCTGGCCTCCCCTCCCCAGGGACGGGCTCCTCCCTCCAGGCCCGTGCAGAGCCCATCTGTCTTCCCCAGAGATGGGCCCCTCCCGTCACCCTCCGCAGAGCCCGCCTGCCCTCCCCAGGGACGGGCCCCTCCCGTCAGCCCCTCACAGAGCCCGCCTGCCCTCTCCAGGGACGGGCTCCTCCCGCCAGCTCCCCGCAGAGCCCACCTGCCCTCCCCATGGACGGGCTCCTCCCGCCAGCCCCTCACAGAGGAACTAGTCTGTCCTTCCCTCAGGGACAGGCCAGGGCACCTCGCACCATCAGTACGTGCAAACTTGCCTCTATTTATTGGCTCCCTTTTCCCGCTGATCTGTGCTGGTGCGGCAGGGGCAGGACTGGTCATGCAGCCTGCTCATGTGAGGGGCTGAGTCCTCTGGGTCTCCTGCTCTGCCTGGGCGCTGGGCGAGAACTGCAGCCCGGCAGATTTTGTTCCCCTGCAGGACAATTTCGTCTAGGGCCCCGTGCCCCCAGTTGCTGGGAATGGAAGAGCCATTCCCACTGCACTAAGTAGTTTCTCTTCCCCCTTGTGACCATGTCCTGGAGCTTCCCCCAGTAAACAAGCCTCACTGATGGGCCGGGAGGGGTTAGGTGAGCATTCGCGGCATGGGACCTCCCAGCGCTGGAGCTCTGACATAGGCCTTCACCCTGCGGGGCAGGAATCCTGAGCTGGGACACTGTGCAATAGCTGTTGGTTTAAGCCATTTGTGCTGGAGGAGACAGGGGCCCCGCACTATGGAGGGTAGGCAGATGAGTGCGTCAGGGCACAGCCGCCCCCCCAGGCATGCGCTATGGGGCCTCTGGACGTCTTGCCACTCCCCCCCCGGCCCCTGCAGGGTGGCAATATTCAAGGGTGCAGGCTATAGGCACAGAGCCCTTAGTATTGGATCCAGGGAGGTTGCCACCAGGTCCCTGGCTGCCTCTGCGCCTGGCATGGACCCGCGCTTCCTAACGTGAGTGCCCATGGGAGAGACTGAGGCAGCATAGGGTTTCTTCAGTTTCAGGGTGGGGAGGTCCTGCTGTGAGGCCCACTCCAAGTCTACCTCAGGGACGGGGAAGGACACAGCAGGGTCTAGGGTCTCTCCCAGAAAACCCAGGGGCCTTGATTCTCACTCTCCCAGCACTGTCAGGGTGGCGTCATTTCCCAGTGCACCTTTACACTACCTGTCCTTGGTGCCTGGTCTGCACACCCTGGCACCTCGCTCACCCGGCTCCCAGTCAGAGCTGCTCCCCAGGCTTGTTTACCATGGAGCTCCTGTCCCTCCTCTCCAACGCCATGGACTTGTTTCCTCTTCGTTGCGATCTGCATGTCAAATCGAGTCTGTGATTGAGCCTCTGTTGAAGCCGAAGGCGCCGGTTATGCGTGGAAGTGGAGAGATATTTTAGCACTGAATAGAATATTTTTAAAATTAAACTATTTGAAATACAGTGTGTGAATTTCTCTGCAGCAGCTTGGAGAGGGCTGGATCCACACCATCCTCTCCATGGACCTCTGTGAGTCCAGAAGTGACAGGACACAGGGACAGCGTCTCGCCTGGGAACGGGTGTCAGGGGCTGCTTTGTTCACGTCTTCGAGTGGATGCAGCTGCGTATTCCACTTAGTGTGTGCGCCCTGTGTGCCGGAGCTGAAGGATTTTCCCAGCAGTACCCCTAGAGGGGCGGGGCTCACGCCGTGTGGCCATAGCCCCTCCCCTGGCTGTATAAGGCAGTACCACCTTGACCCCCCCACAGTTTCTTCTTACCACCCATGGCTGGAGTTGCAGCACTGTGCGTTTTACCTCACACTCCTCTACTTAGTGACGTTTCGAGTTGTATGTGGTTCATTAGGACCGTAGTACAGTGTGTGTTAAGTTACTGTCAGCTGTAGGTTGTGTTTTCCTGGTGATGCCCCCGATCAGCATTTAAATTTAAACGTCCATTGAGGAAGGGGCATCCCCACTAACAATCCCCACACACGGTGCTTGTTGTGTCCAGGCACAGCCCATATCAAGGTGCGCTGTTCCATTTGCACGTTGTTCACTACACAGACTCAGGTTGCGAGGGATCTTCGTCTGAAGCAGCACCTGCTCCAACAGGCAGGAAGATTTACACCTCCTCTTCCTTGCAGATGCAGATTGCTAACCAGCAGCCACTGCTGCCCAAGAACGACTTTGCTACCTGGACAGCTATGTCTAAATTTGCAGACCAGCTGCCCAAGTTCTCGAGGGAGGAATTTCAGGCATTGGTCACCGAAGGCTGTTTGGGGCTAAGGCTTCTTTGCAGTCCACACTGGACATCACGATGATTCAGCCAGAGTGAAGGCACCTGTGGTGCCTATGAGGCGGTGTTCCTGGCTGCAGAATTCTGGCTTTGCTCCTGCTGTCCAGCAGGCCACTGAGGATTTGCCCTTCGATGGGCAAGAGCTGTTCTCGGATAAGATGGATGAGACTCTGCACTCCTTCAAGGACTCTAGGCTGCCCTACGGCCCTCGGGGGTGTACACGCTGGTGGTGCAGAGGCCATTACAGCGTTCAACAGCAACAACAGCAGTATTGTCAACAGCTCATGTTTGGGCAGCTTTTTGCTCCCCCAAGGCAGGACTGCCCCGGAAAAGGGCCTAGGCCCCACAGGAGGAAGCAGTTGGGTTCAGGATTCAGCCAGTTCACACGCCATCCCCAGCACCTCCCAAGCACCCATTTTGACACCTTGGTCCAGAGAAGTGTTCCAGCCATTGGTCTCCCTGCCTTCCCCTCCCCACATCCTCCTCTCTGTGGATGGGCTGATTTGCTTTTACAATGCTTGGGGCTCGATCACTACTGAGCTGGGTCCTAAGCACCGTCTGATCGGGCAGTGCCATCCAGTTCCTCTCCATCTGGCCCCGTCCCTCTTCAGGGACCCCCTCACAAGATACTGCTCCTTGAGCAGGTGTGCTCTCTGATGGCATTGGGAGCAGTGGAGGAGATCCACCACAACACCAGGGTCAGGGTTTCTACTGGTACTTTGTGGGGCCCAAATCCAAGGGAGGGGTAAGGCCCATTCTTGACCTTTGCGGCCTCAACAAATATATCAGGTACACGAGGTTGCGAATGGTCTCTCTAGCGCCTATCCTCCCCATGTATCAAACTGGTTTGCTGCCCTGGACTGTCAGGACACCTGCTTTCATATGGCCGTTTTGCCGAGCCACAGAAAATTCCTTTGGTTTGTTGTGTTAGAGCATTTTCAGTCCACAGTGCTTCCCTTTAGCCCCTCTTCTGCCCCTTGGGTTTTTACCAAATGCATGGTCATCGTCACGGCATAGCTCCAGAAGAACGGGATCCACAGCTTCCCATAGCTGGATGACTGGTTGCTGAGGGGCAGATCCAGACAGGACGTCCTTTCTCATGTGGACACCACACTGCGCTTGCTTGACCATCTAGGTCTTATCCTAAACACCGGGAAGTCCACCTTGGTTCCCACTCAGAAAATAGAGTTCCTTGGGGCACTAATAGACTCTACCTGTTCAGTAGTGTTTCTGCTGACTGTCTGTTTTCAGGCGATTTGCCACCTCTGTCTCACTGCAGCCTCAGCCTTCCTCGAGAGGTCGGATATGCCTGAGGCTCTTGGGCCACATGTCTGTTGGCACACAGGTGGTCCAGTTTGTGAGGCTATGTCTTCACCCCCTTCCAGTGTGGCTCAGGGCAGTTTACTGAACTCTTCACTCCTTACACAGATTGGTCTGTCTCCCTCCACTGGACCTGGACTCCTTGCAATGGTGGATGCTTCTCAAGAATGTTTATCAGGACATTCCCTTTGTCCAGCCCTTGCCAACCAGGTCTGTTGTCACTGAAGCCCCCCTGGTGGGCTGAGGGGCACAGGTGGGGTTGCTAAGAGTCCAAGGTTTGTGGTTGGAGCAGGAGACCACTCTGCATATCAATGTGCTGGAGCTTTGGAGCAATGCTTGTCATGCTTTTTGGGACCATATCAGGGGCTCAGCGGTTCACATACTTACCGACAATACCACCGCAATGTAGTATGTGAACTTGGGGCAGCAGGTTTGTATAATTTTTGGTGGTGCCCCGAACGGGTCCAAGTCTGCCCCCCCCCCCTCCACACACACACACACACACACACACACACCCCTGTCTAAGGCTCTGGGAGGGAGTTTGAGTGCGGGCTCTGGGCTGGGGCAGAAGGTTGGGGTGCAGGAGTGGGTGCAGGGAGCAGGCTCTGAGGGAGTTTGGGTGCGGGGGGTGGGCTGGGGCAGGCTCTGGGAGGGAGTTAGGGTGTGGGCTCTGGGCGGGCTCTGGAGGGAATTTGGGTGTGAGGTCTGAGCTGCAGAAGGGGGTTGGGGTGCGGGTGAGGGGTGGAGCGGTTACCTCGGGCAGCTCCCGAAAGCGACCCGCACCCCCCTCTGGCAGCAGCTCCTAGGCGGGGTCTCCACACGCTGCTGCCCACAGGCATCACCCCCCCAGCTCCCATTGGCCGGAGTTGGCAGAGTCAGCACTCGGGGCAGCGTGCGGAGACACAGCCTCTCCCTCCCCCCCCCCCAACCACCACTGGGGGCGCAGGGACGTGCCAGCTGCTTCCGGAAGCAGGGTGGGCAGGAAGCCACCTTAGCCCTGTTGCGCTGCCGGTGGTGGCGGGATCCCCTAGCCCTTTTAAATTGCCTGGGGGTAGCTGGGGGGGAGGTGCGCGGGGGCAGCAGGCGGGGTGGGGGGGAGAGACCTGGCCCCGAACTTTCGTGGAGCCAGGCCCTTGTGCTCTCATATTGGTGGAACATGGGCACCACAGGCCCATAAAACTCACCACCCGTGTGTGAACTGGAAGGGGGAGAGGGTTCCCTGCCAAGGGGCAATCAGGCTGTGGCAGTTCTGCCTTGAGG